TCTCCTGCTATTCTCTTGGAATACCAAGTCTAGACATCCAAACTATACGTGCTTACCTATCGCAATTCCGTCCAATTCCACCTCAATATATTTAGTGATGTCTTTGTGAATTTATATCGCTTCACAAAATATTGTTTGCAACTAGCATATATCATCAGATCACATGATGCATATTGTTAGCTTGCTCATTCATACATGAAGCAACGCAAGCATATGCTTAATGACTATTCTTGTTATAAACTTACGATCCACGATCGTGAAAAAATACTTATATTTTCAATCATTATTTTCACATCAATGACGGCTTCTTTATACATATATTATTATGGATTACTCTATCTATCCCAATTTATGTGACAAGGTATGAATTTCGAGAGACAAACTTCTTAATTTTGACTGTAATTCAGATATATAATCTTTTAAGTTTTTTTGAAAACAAAATTTATGTTATGATCGAAATAATTAGGTGTTATGTGGAAGCTAACAAAGTATACATTCAATGACGATAAATCAGACAACAGAAGAAAAATATACCAAAGAGAGAAAAATAATTATTGTAATTCGGTCAATTGATATACATCCACATGCAGATATAAACAATCTACTATACAAAATGGGTACAAAATATCGAGAGAATAATCTTACAAAGAGGTACACACAAGTGGCAGTGTTAGAGACTGTGCGTCCACCAGACTGTATAGAGAACCGGGTTCTCTATGTGTTTCCTCTGAAAGTACTGATGAACCAAACTGTATAGCGATCTGGTCCTATATCAGTTTGGTACAATGCTAAGTTTGTGTGAGACCACCGATTAGTAGAGTACCTGGTCCTTTATGGGGTTCTGTTGTAAATGCTAGTAAAGCTATATGTAAATAAGGCCGAGGATTTTTACGTGAAAAAATCCCACACAAGGGGATCAAAAAACCACGACCTACACCTGTAGGATTTTAACTTCACTAACTTGCAATCTCCCTATTATAAACCACTTTACAATGACCCTATTGCAAAGACTCCAACTAACTTGTGATGCTCTCGTCATAAGCCACTCTATAACTATCCTAGTTACAAAGAATTTGACTAGCTTGTGGTATTTCAACCACAAGCCACTTTGTCACACTATGGTTACAAAAGGCTTTTGACTAACTTGTGATGTTTCCACCACAAGCCACTTTGTCACACTACGGTCACAAAGGCTTTTGCTTATGACTATCCCTAGTCACAATATAAACTCAAAAGTTTACGAATTTTGGTTTGTTCCTAAGACAACGCTTCTAAGAAAGCAAACTAGGAATTACAATGAAGAACACATAACAAAGACTAAACAACCTAAGGACTTAAGATGTCTTCGATCTTGGATTAGGTCCTTGAGGTTGAAGCAGCTTTGTTCTTGAGAGAGGTTCTTAAACACTTGAGAGAATATTTTCCTTTTCTGATTTTGCAAGTGTTGAACTAGAATCTTGTGCCTTGCATGAGGTTTATACTACACAAGACATTACATTAGCGATGTCAATTCACAATGGTGATGTCCAATCTCAATGGGAAGTGACTGCTGCACTGTCTGCAGAACTGCTACGTGTACAGTTGCAGGCAGTCACTTTCTGCAGTTAGTTTCCAACTGTACTGTTGACTTATACTTCTGTCAGGGGAACACTAAGATATCAGGTTCCTAATCTGGTTCATGTGAACCTAAAGCACACTGCCGAGATTATCTTGAGTCGATTAACCTGAATGATTGTACCAGGCTAGCTTTATGTCCTTTATCTGGTTCTCTCATGAAGTAAGTTGTTTTACCTTCCTTGATGGTATTTATAGTTGTGTGACATCACTTACAATGATGTAAGCAAGATAGGTAAAAAGCTTTCCATAGAAAGTTGACTGTTGCACTGTTCCTGTGTAGTAGCGTGTGCAGGTAGTAACTTTCATGCTGGAGAGTTGACTTCATACAGTCTCCTCGGGAACTGGTAGGGACTTGTTTCCTCAGGTGTTCCTTCCACTCTGAAGAGTTGAGTTATATCCTACGCTGGATCCCAATCTGGAGTTTTGTGATCTCAAGGTCTTGTAGATGTATAACAGGTTCCGTATCTGGTTCTGGATGGTAAGTTTGTTAGATCATCAAAACATAAAGTAAAGTACATATGCCCAAGGTATTTGTAACCTATCAATTTCCCCATTTTTGATGACGACAAACTTAGAATTGATATTCCTCCTGACAACCAGATCTCCACATTGTTCCCCCTACGAATCAGCCATATTCCTCATGAGAACCGAACCTAAGGAACTGATCACAACTGGTTCCTCAAGACTGTTTGCAAATCATCAAAACTCAAAGTACAATAGCTTATCAATTTCCCCCTTTTTGATGAATGACAAATCCAGAATTATTCCCCCTGAGAATCAGGTTCCTTATCTACAATGATCACATCCGGTCTGTACCCCCAATATGTTGAGAACGTTTGTCATCATCAAAACATGACATAGAGTAACTTAGATCAATTTCCCCCTTTTTGATGATGACAAACCTAAAATTATTATTCCTCTTGAGAACCAGATTCATCACATGTTTCCCTGCAGATCAGACCTATAATCAACTTGTTTTCAGCACGTTCCCCCTGCGAAGCAGAGCCATCAGCAACACTTTCCCCCTACGAAGCAGAGCCATCTTTCATGCACAACACACATATCAATTCGATTCTGTTCCTCCCCCATGTGAACACCTATATTACTTCCCCCTTTTGGCATCATCGAAAAGAATAACAGAAGAAGTACCACCAAAAAGAAGTTCAGCAACATTAACTCAGGCCACTTGGGCAACACAACATAAACAATAACAAGAACAACAAGTGAATGTCAGTACCCAAAATAGAGTGATTGCCCATAGTGGAGTAATTATGATAAAAACACAGTAGCTTCAACAATACATAATATGACAGTTTAAACAACTGAAGTACCAATGTCATCAAATATAGGGATCAAAAGAAGGTAAGAATTCAAGGGAACTGGGAAGGAGTGAAGGACATGGATCACTGGGTAGGAAGAAAAGTAAGAGTCTAAGGCTTTGATGAGCTTGTCCATTCGTTCATTTACTCCCCTTTGATCAATGATCATCTGCTCTCTCAGTTCCTCCACCTGTTTCCTCAATCTTTCGTTTTCACCCTTCAACTTAACATTGTATTCTGCCAAGGGTCCTCGAGGACCAGGTTCTCAACCTATCTGAGTAGGTTGAACCATCAATCAGATCACCAAGAATCTCCCCAAGTTTCGTCTCATCAAGAACATACTCAGTCCCATGCACATATAGCATCATAGTATCACGTAAAACATAGAAGTTTTTACTTCTTCTTTAGACATATTGGGACTTGGAGGAACAAAGAGGTGATTCTATCTTTGGAACTCAACAATGTTGAGAAGTTCCTCCATTTTTCAGCAATATTAGAGTCAACACTCTGCCTTATAGCACCTTTTGAGACTTCAACGTCTTCTCCCTCCAAACCTAATGGCTTAATCTTTTGCTTCTGTAAGGAATCAGGTTCCTCACTTACACTACCCTTTCTATCCCTGAGCAACCATGTCTCCCTCTTCTTCTTCTCAATCTGTTTACCCTTATCATCTGCTGCATTTTTCTCAGCCAACTTTCCTTTTCTTTTTTTTTTATATTCTTTCTCACATGAAAAGATTTCATTTCATTCTCTAATCACATCATCAGCTCACACCACTTCACCATCAATCAGTCTACTTTTCATCAATCCTTTTTACTGATCGAAAGTTCGTTATACACAGAACTCAAGGAGAAAAAGATCATCATTAAAATTAACTTCATGAGAAGGACTTGAGGGATCAGGTCCCTCATTCGGTCCTCATATTCACCAATTTCTCCATTCTTCAACATTTCTATGAATCCAACCACAACTTCAGCCTCACGCTCTAGAATATTAGATCTACCCTGTTCCCTTTCAGTTACACTTCCATCAAAATCTACCAAAGACTTCTTGGGGTTATGATTCTGATGGAGTGAGTTTTTTTTTGAAAAGTGAGAGAGTTGGGTTCAACTCTGGAATATTTGGAAAGAAGGATTACTTTGAGACAAGGTTGATTCTGGTTTTGAAGAAAAGACTCGGTTTTATTTGGGTGTAAGATAGAGAAGTTCCTTTTTTGGGGCAACGACTCAGTTTAGAAAAGGTTTAACATTTTGGACTTCAAAAGTTAGGAGGAGAGGCAGGAGAAAGGCAGAAACAAATTGATGACATGACACTTCAGCAACTTAAAAAGGCATATAAGTATTGAAGAGACTACTAACCTGAGTCACAGGAACGAGGTTCCGTGACTGTTTTTGAAAATTTTGAGCAGGGACTCCTAGAAGTGCAATGTCACTCTTACTTGTTTTTGTCCTGCGACTGCCATATGTGTGTACCTGTAACAGTATAGATTTGAGTTAGATGTCGCCGAAAAACACTTTTTAGCATTGTACCTTTCCTTCTTAACATAGCCAATCATCGAGGGACCAGGTTCCTCTGTGCCATTTTGGAGATTCTAATGCTTCTCGTTCATCCTTCTGCTTGCTTGACTCATCAAATCAGTATTTTCCATTGGTCCATATCTATAGCTTTACCAGGAGCATTTGTGAATTCTCCATCTCCATCTGCTTGGTTTTGTGACCCTTTTTCCATCATTGTTGAGAATAAAACATTTGCATCCAAAGGCTCTCGGGTAGGTCAACTTGGCTTTTCTCCCATTGAGCAGTTCATAGAGAGACTTCTTGAGGAGGGACCTGATCATGCATTTGTTAATCAAGTAGCAAGCAGTGTTGACTGCTTCAGCGTATGAACCAGGTCCTCCATAACCAACTTGTTCAACAAGTAGAAACTCACATGCCCAGTCATCTTCACCATAATTCAGCATCATCATTCATTAATGACACTTAGGCATGTTAGATCACAGCCATGCCGGGACTTAAAACTCANAAGTACACGGTATCAACATTAATAAAATTACCAATAAAGTTACCTTGTCACGTCTTCTTCCACTGATGATGGCTGTTGGGAAATACTTTGCAACATTCCTGACAGCAGAGCGCATCTGCAGAATATAATATTTTGTGTGAATATCTACAGATAAGCATCTTAGTTTCATATGAGATTTGAATTTACCTCATTGGATATAAAAGCACGGTCAGGGTCATCAACAATAGGAGAAAGAGTCCCATCATAATCTAAGAAGATGACTATCTGTTTATTCCTTGCTTGCCTCATAATTTGCTGAAAGGAGTTGAGAGCTGATGGATACTTGATCTGGACAAAGAAAGAAGCTTGATTATTATTATGTAAAGACATAGAATTCGTTGCATCAAAACTAATGGACCGGTGTGAATTTGGTGAAAGTCTTAACATACCTCCCAAGAGAGGTAAGTAACATCAGCATCATCGGAAGAAACACCAATGTTTACTTCCTTCAGAATCTTCTTCCTATGAGGTGAAGAAGACATCATTGCGTCGAGCTAACCGTTGGATCGAACATCATCAAGCTTCGCTGGCTTCTTTCTAGGAATTGTTAGCACGCTAGTGGAGAATGAGGGCCCAGATTGTGAGTAAGGCAACAAACTAGAATGGATCCCCAATCTAGACTTGTTCAATGGCGAAGGATCCGTTAGAACTGGAGAGGCGTTTGTCGAATTCAAGTCCATTGAAACAATATGGATTTGGCTGATATTGACTTTGTGATTGACAGCTATGCAGTTGGGACTTCTTACTATTGGATGTATAAGAGTACCGAATCTTTTAACCGACCCTTTTGTCAATGAAAAACCACCTCTTCAAAGTTTTCTTATCACTGCTGCTGGGAATAGAGTCCATTAAGTACGGGCTTCCTGCAATCTGGACAAGTCGGAAGTGTCAAGCAGAATATGAAATTACTTGTGTGATTTGGACAATGACAGAAATCCATACCTCATCTCCTGAACACACTGCATTTACACTAGAAACAGAACATTTTGGCTTGCACAATTTAGTCAAGTCTCACGTGTACCTGGAACAAGTTACTTTTGTGTCAAAACAACGTGGAGCAAACAAAGAAAAGGAAACATTTAATGTTAACAAGAGAAAATTTGACTTGAAGCCTTTACAGATGATATATTAAGTTGGATTAAAATGCATTTCCATTTGAAGAAAACAGTAGACTCCAAAACAGAGGTAACGCCTTATTTCGCACACTTATGACTATCCATTTCACCTTAAGTTTGGACAATAGCCGCTCTATATTACGATCAAAAGATTTTTTTTTTGGCAGATTAGGGTGTGAAAGCCAAAATAACAAGGACTCTTCTTTGAAATTTCTCTCCAAGTAACAATTCATCTTCCATAAATTTCTACAGAAAAAGCAGTAAAAACAACCATGAGCAGAAAAAGCATACATTTGGCTAGAGGTGGACATGCGAGGAGAAGTCAGGTGTGGGCGCACCAACTGCCTTTACCTCTAAAAATGTATATGAATCTGCTAACCCAATCATGAGCTTTTGGAATAACACATCTATGAATCTGCTAACCCAATTCAAATGCAAAGATTCCAGTGAAAGAACACAAAGCAGTTGAAAGAGAGAAACTTAAACCATTGTCTATCAGGTTAAAGACATGAGACTTTCTATAGTAATCCTGACGTGGAAAATACAAGATCAACTAATTAATTGCTATAAAACCAGTTAAATAATCTGCTACCATTTTCTTATCCATGGAACAAAGGATCTAATAGAATCAAATTGCATAAGAATGGGTATTGCTATCATAAAGACAATTCACAGACACTTTTAATAAATGCTTCAGCATAGTTAAGAGCAGGCCTAGTAGGTGAAAGATATTTTCTCTGATTTGACAAGGTAAACACGTTACATTAAGCCAACAATTGGGAATATAGATAAGTGTACTAGCATAATATACCAATAAAACTCAATACATGATTTTTATTTAAGCTAACATGACAGACATGTAGGAATCATATAATTCTCGCATGACATTATGTATATTTATATACTGTATCAAAAAAATTAAATTAAATCTCCAATCTGAAAAGACTTAATTATAAGGCATTGATTCATTAAGTTCTTATTATAGGTCCTAACTGAAGTATAACTTAATTAAACAAAATATCCAGAGATCTAAATAAAAGAAGAGCAAAACAATAAACAAAAACCAGCCATGAGATAAAGTTGGCACTGATTGGTAAAAGCACACCTGAGCTCAAGTTTAAACAAGAATTGGCAAATTCTGCAATGACACCTTAGAGAATCCCTGTTAATTCTTTTGACCCGTTTGGAGTGTCTTCTACTGGTAGTAGTGCAATGCAGTAAAATTGATATCCAAGTGTCAGAAACATATCTACTGCAATTATAATTTGCTCCAGTAATACAGAAACATATACACAAAAAGGGTCAAATAGTCCTGAAAGGCTCAATCAGTCTGTCACTCTACATATGCAGGCTGCTAATTAGAGTCAAACAGATTAATACAGAATTAACAGGCAAATCATATCTAATATCTAATGCATTTCACGACAGTGAATAAGGCATGTAATCCCCTTTCTCATGCATGCGGGCATCTAATAATATCTCCTTGTAGTATTGAAGTGCTATACTACAAGAATCCCATTTTTCTTCAAGTCATGGTCAACCATTATTTTCTTTTCTATCTGTAAAAAAAAATTTGGATAGATAACATTTCCCTGTGTTACCAGTAGAGAGGTAATAGGGTGGTTTGATTAGGGGTTGTAAAGTTTCTGCTTATAAATCACATTATATTTACAACTGTTCTCACTTTTATTTATACCCTTATTCCATCTCTCTACTGATTGTCACTTTCAGTGAGTAAATCAGTAAGTGTGAAACAAGGAGACGACCAAGAACATAGAGGAAAACAAGGCAGAGAAGAAGAGTTCAAAGCAATTAATGAAAATACATGGGCTGCAGTAACCTTATAGTAAGTGCAAGGTATGTCAATATTATTTGTGAGAACAACATGATAATATTTTAAATCAAAATGCCAAATGGAATTTTCCAAGATGGCAGAAATGATATGCCAAAAAGAGATGAATGAATCAGCTAAAAAGAAGAGTGGTAGAGTCATCAGACAATGGCTGAATTGCAGCAGGTATCAACAAATATCAGCAAGGATTCCTGCACAACCAAAAACAATGTTAATGAACACAAGAATATGACCAAAATTTGATACTAACAAGTCATTGCTCACCCCTAGTCCCAGTAATCCAAGAAGCAAACGGGCCGAAGTAAGTTCCAGATAATTTAGCACTCCAATAGTAAAGCCCAGCTGAAGCACTCCAATAGTAAAGCCCAGCTGAAGTCACAACCGCCTGGGTTAGTCACGATACAAAGCGTTAGACAAAAATTGATGACATATAATTGCTTTTCAGGGAACTTCTATTAGAATAAGATATTACATCTCAAAAGATGTTTAAAATGTCTAGTAGAACAAATAATCAATTAATGTAACCAATAAGAGACGTCGCAAGAATATGATAGTATGAGAAAGCTTATGGCATTATACATACATAAAGCATGTAATTAACACACATATAGAACAAACCCATATGTATTTATTACATCTAAAAAATACTACAGATATAAACATCAAGATTGCAACTAAAATTTTTCACCTTTTTTATATACATATGTAAAGTAGGACTTACACAAATAGAGAGATACCCATGAAGAAAGAAACAAAGCAGTGCCGGCCTACTGCTAAAATATTTCTGTTGTTCTATGTAATTTTCCAGTTTGTATTTTTTTTCTTTTCTTAAGAGAGTAGCTTGATGAGTCCACTTCCTATTTTTTACATGTTTCTAAGTCTGCGTTGTGTAATCTATGGGCATATCCCTTTCAGTTATGCTTCCCTTATATTAGGTATAGTTGTTACTACTAAAGAAATTGGAGAAAGAATCAGCTTCCCTGTCATTTCAGTTGCACGCGGCTTATATCATCCATTCAAACAACAAGCCCTTTTCATTCACTATCAAAATGAAAGAGCATCAGATACTTACTTAGTATTCTGCCCAGGATATGTGATTGTAATACGATCACTGTCCCATTTACAGCATTTCCTCTTTAGAAGTTGCATAAATCTTTTTGTCGAATATAGTTCGACTTCCAACATCTCTTGAAGGTCATCAAGAGTCACTTCTAAATTAAAATTTTTACGATGTTTATCACGAAAACACTGTCATTGTAAGTTTTCATAGGTTACATTATACTGAAGTAGATTATAAATGATCTCGATCAACCACTTGGCCCACAACACTAACTTCACTAGCTTCGTTGTCTTCTTCCTTGGAGGCATTCTTTTCCTTTTCTAAAACAAATAAGCAATAATGACCTTGCAACTAATTAAATATTCCTTAATACGAATAATTCTCTTTTAAAAAATAACACTTAGTTTAATTTCTGAGCCCAATTATTTGAAGTATTTCAACATAAACTATTAACAAAGTGACTAATGCTTATTCTTATGTGAATGAACACTAGATGAAATATCATATTCCCATCCCTCGTACTTCTGAGACTAGAATAGAGATATAGCACTTCACAAATAGACTTTTAAAAGAAGAAAGTCTAAGAACATGATTGCATTTTACTAAATAGAGTCTAAAGTGTCATTAACATATGAACTATCAGAAGTGAAAGAGCTTAAGAGAGAGGAACCTGAAAAATAATTTCAGAAGCGAGATAAAAAGCAAAAACCAGGTTCGTCACTTGCTTACAGAAACACCAAAATTTAAACAAAAACACAAAAAACCAACCCACGAGCAACCAACCCAAAAATTTAAACAAAAACACAAAAAAATAACCCAGAAATTTAAACAAAAAGAAATTAAAAAAGCTGCTAAAAAAAGCATTCAAGACCCACACGAGTTAAGACATCAAACTAGATTTGCGATGGCCATTATGCATACTTAATTGCAAAAAAGAGCAAGAAATTAGAAATCAAAACTCGAAAGGAGAGAGTTGTTTACCGATTGGAGAAACTCTAAAGGATTAATTAGTACACCGCCTCTGTTGTTGAGCCTGGAGTCCGAAATTAAGCCTTCCAATTAACGATTTTCAGATTTAGAGAAAGTGTTGATGGATGCTTGGATCGAGTCCGAAATTGCCTGGAGAAGATGGAGTCCGAAATCGCCTCTCTGTATCTCCTCGTTATTTCCGATAAAACTAAAATTAGGGATTTAGTATTTTATTAGATATAAAAGCGAAAAATTAAAGATTGAAAATCATATTGTGGGCCCATTTAATTTTAGCGGGTATAGAAAATTTTGCTGAAAAATAAGGAGGGAATTAATGACCGTAACAATAGACATAACCGTTACAATAGATTGCTTTATTGCTACGGTTATAAAAATCATTGCCAGAGATACCTCTATAGGAACGGTTTTAAGACTATTGCTACGGTTCGGTTCCTAAGTGTCCCGGTAGTTCCACTATTTTGTTGTAACGGTTCAAACCGTAACAATACACCATCTATAGCAACGGTTACTGATCCGTAGCGATAAAAAGCGTTGCCATAGCTCCAATTTCTAGTAGTGTATTTCTAAGTTAAAATGAGTAAAAATTGTGTGGGGTAGCCACTTTAAAAGTGGTATTTACTTTTTATCCAGCATTTTCAATGCTTAGCAATAGTAGCCACTAGTCTATTAAAATTAATATAAAAAGACTCTGTTACCCTTTCTTCTATCTCTTCTCCTTCCCAAACCCTCTATCAATATTTCAAAATCCTGCTCGATCACATACTCCAAAAATATCAACCGGTACCAACTGGTTTAATGCAAATAATCTGAATTGCTAAGACTGAATTCAAATAATCTCATCCTTTTGAGTAGGAATTGGAAGGTGACCTTTCTCTTGTAGACTCTTCACCGTTTCATATAAGCACTGTTTCACTGGTGTAAACTCCAAACCCAATTCCTTTAGCTTTTGGTTAGAGAATTTATACGGTTTTACCCTTACAATTAATTCTAAACAAAAATTAAATAAGATATAAAGCAAGAACATAAGATATTAACAAAGAAAAAGACAGGGAAGGCGGAAAAAAAAAAGACAGAAAAATTAAGGACAGGTAGTCCTTAACTTACAGTTACAAGTTCAAAAGTTAAGGACAATAGGTCCTTAACTTTGATTTCCAAGTTCAAAAGTTAAGGACATACAGTCCTTAACTTACAGTTACACATTCAAAAGTTAAGGACAAGCAGTCCTTAACATACAGTTACAAGTTCAAAAGTTAAGGACAATAGGTCCTTAACTTTGATTTTCAAGTTCAAAAGTTAAGGACAGACAGTCCTTAACTTACAGTTACACGTTCAAAAGTTAAGGACAAGCAGTCCTTAACTTACAGTTACAAGTTCAAACGTTAAGGACAATAGGTCCTTAACATTGATTTCCAAGTTCAAAAGTTAAGGACAGAGTCCTTAACTTACAATTACACGTTCAAAAGTTAAGGACAAGCAGTACTTAACTTACAGTTACAAGTTCAAAAGTTAAGGACAATAGGTCTTTAACTTTGACCTACAAGTTCAAAAGTTAAGGACGCTTAGTCTTGAAGTTAGAGTTCCAAGTTCAAAAGTTAAGGACATGTAGTCCTGAACTTAGAGTTACAGGTTAAAAAGTTAAGGACATGTAGTCTTGAAGTCCTCAACTTAGAGTTTCAAGTTCAAAAGTTAAGGACATGTAGTCCTGAAGTCCTGAAGTTAAGGACATGAGCAGAAGGGTATTTTCGTCCGGGCAGTTAAAGTTTATTAAACCAGTGGCTAAAGACTAAAGACATTTAAAACACTGGCTTTAAAATAAAGACAGGAGCTGTTAGTGGCTATTTGTGCACATCGCCCTTAAAATGACAACAACAAAAAAAAAACAAAACAAAACAAAAAAAGACCAAAAGTCAAAAGCTAAAATTCCTAACTTATGACTTATGCTTAAAAGCACTTAAAATAAGCTCATCCAAACGGGATGAGAATGTCAATTGATTTGTTAGGATTGTTGATAAAAAAGAAAAATATCATCAAAACTCCTCTAGTTCGGATTGATTGAATGATTTTTGAAGATCAACATTTTAGCCACAATGTCATGGATTCGAATTACACATTTGAAAAAGTATGACAAATAAAAAAATTCTAAACAGTTGAGAGCAACTGGAAGTTAGTAAAATCAAATCAGAGCGTTTAAGAGGATTTTATTTGATCTTCTTTCATGTTTTCTTCCTTAACTCGGCCCCTTGAGGGCACTATTTGTTCGGCATTTGTTTTGATTGTTGAACGCTATCGATACTATCAACAAATTTTAGACCAATTTTAAGAGGATGAAAATACCCATCAGAAATTTAGAGAGGCATAATACCTCAAACCCACATAGATTTGGCTAATTTTATTAGGTGTACAGCTAAGCTATCATTTATCTTCATTATCCTCCAAGACTTTGACAATTTAATACATTCATTCTAGATCCCTTGCGGCTGAAACGGTAGGGCATGTAACTACAACCATTTTTAGGCGCATGGGAGTGCAAGAAAGGCGAAGAGATGCATACAACAATCTCTTTCAGCCGAATTTTTTTCCTAAATTAACAACTACTACATTTTTTCTTTTTCTTTAATTTTTTGAATGCAGTGAATCCGTAAAATGGTGAGGTTTAAATATACGTACTATAGGACCGACTTCGCTCTACAAAGAATTATACTCGTATGTGTTAAATCTGGTCTTTTTTTATTCCAGCCTCTTCCTCGAATGCGCAAGCCGTAAGGGTTGGGTGAAAAATGCTTCCATCTTGCCAATAAACAGTTTTAGGCCTTGGATTAACCTCACTCAAAAGAGTTACCTACCTAAAGAAAAATAGTGTTCTTTCTAAAAATAGATGTGCATAATTTTTTTTATGAGAGAAACTTACAATATATTTTGGAAGAGGTGGTCATCGACCCTATACCTATGAGCATTATATAACAGTTCTAACATCTCGGAAGATGTTCTAGAATGGTAATAAGGTCAAGTTTTCAAACAAAAAATAATATTGGACCATAACGTATGATTTGATCAAGTCTACGCCGTCTGTGGGGATCGAACCCACGAACACGTGGTTAAAAGCCACGCGCTCTACCACTGAGCTAAGAAGGCCTGTTTAATGCTATCTGCTTAATAAACTTATTTATCAGAATCTTCATATACAACAATCATAGCCATATTTACTGCCCGTGCCACAACACACCACAAAGTTTCAAACAACCAGCTATGTTTATTTCTTGTGCAAGAAGAAATTTTGACTTAGAAGATAAGGCTAAAAACAATTTAAGGCAAAACTTTGAAGATCATTTTCAAATTACTAGTGTTAGAATCCGCACGATGCGTGGATAATTTGACATAATATTAATCTTATAATATTAGGATCTAATATATCATATTATTATGAGAAATATTAGTTGTTATTTTATTATTTGTTGTAGTGTACAAAATTATAGCAAATCTATACAAAATCAAATGATACACATCATATAGTAATCAAATTAATTTATCACTAATATTTTTGAGTATTATTTATTTATTTAATTTTATCAAATGAATTTAAATCGTGGATAGAATCACATTATATCTATTATGTCAATAATTTCTACTTATAATTATAATAATAATTATTTCTATATTATTTTCAAAAATTAAAATAAATTGAATTCTTCTTTCCGTTTGTATTTAATATGAAAGTTTAATTTTTTATTAAAATTACTACATAATAAGTTAAACTATATCTATATTCTATAGTTTGAGTATTCTTATCATAATTTTAAGTATTTTCTAATCTCAAATTCAAATAGTCTTACGCTTTCATTTCTAATAGTAAATTTTTAATAATTCTCTTTAATTTTGCTATTTTTTATTATCTAATATATAGTCTTATTACGTTTTATGTGGCTCATTAACTTGTAATTTTATTTAATATCATTATCAACTACTATTCTTTAATATTATATGGATAAATATTTATTTTGTCTTGAAAATATTGCTCAAAAAATTCAAATTATTTAAATTTGTTAATAATATATTAAGTATTCTAATTTACTTTATTTTCTAAACTTGTGATTTATAAATATCCTCATATTATCTCTAATTTATTTTTATTATTCAATATTTTAGTTTTTGATTTTATCTATTAGACTTGAGTTACGTGGACATATCCATATTATGACACTCCTTATCGTAATATAAAAAAAAACTTTCTCATCCCAAATTTGATTAAGTTTTACCCTTTTTTCTATGATAAAAAATCTAAATTTTTATTTAATTTCTCTATTTATTCTTTAGTTTTGCAATTATAATATTCAATACCTAATTTATTACAATGTCATCTAGATTTTATTAGCTTGTTTGAGTTTAATATTTATTTTACCATACTCATTCTAATATGATATAAATAAAAATTAAAAAGTGTTTCGGTAGTAACTTTGATTTCATTGTTCATATTCCAAAATATGATTTTTCTTATCATATTTCAAAAAACAATCTCATCTCAAATGTCACGACCCTAACCAATGGGCCGCGACGGGTGCCTGAGTCCTACCTGTCGAACACCCCTAAGCATGCGTCTAAGATATAAACCTAAATGACGTCTGCTGAATTACGAGAATAACATACATGAAGGATACTTGCCAAAAAGGCATATGTACATATACATGTAGAATACAGTGGGCGAGCCGGCAAGGCTGCTATAAACAACTATATACTCAAAACTGAAAGCCGACAAGGCCAAATACTAGGGGTGGCAAATAGGCGGGGTCGGGTCGGATATGAGCGGATCAAAATGGGTAATTTTAAAAAACGGATACATTATCCGACCCGACCCATATTTAAGACGGATAAAAACGGGTTTATCCGGATCCATATTATCCATGGCTTCTCTAATATGATCACTTATGAGAGAATTTCTAGTCTTTCAAACTTGAGGAACTCCAATTTGAGGCTTTACAAATGTAAAAGTTAAACACATTAGCTATCCATTGGTTATCCATTTGGTTAACCATTTTCTAAGTGGATATTAAGGTTCTTTATCCATATTCGATCCGTTTTTAAATAGTTCATTATCCAACCCATTTTTTGATGGATAATATGGGTGGATAACTATTTTCTTTTAACTATTGTGCCACCTTTACCACATACTATCCAAATATACATAATTATCTACAAACCTCTAATA